AGCTGATGTGGGGAGCGTTCTGGCGCACTATGGCTGCCGTCGCATCATCCAGGTGGGGCTGCACACTGGTGGTGGTGGGGGGGATCCCCATTACCTGTAAAGCGCTTTGAGTGGAGTGTGCAGAAAAGCGCTATATAAGTGTAAGCAATTATTATTATTATTAAGTCACCGCCACAGCCCAGCCAACCCAACAGCAAAGCCCTGCTTCACCAGCACTGCCGCTGCTGTTACTTTAATACCTTACCTTCAAATAAACCTCCACACACCTGAGATATTCATTATGGCAAAACAGCAAGAGAAAATCTCCCACACAGTGCACAAACTCCTCCTGTTGCTCTACTATTTTATTTTTGGCGACAGAGAAGTAGAATTCATTTATATTTTAATAAAATACCCATGACTGGCTTACATTTGATCTATTAAAGGGGAACTGGAACACTATTTTCATATTTCGGGGTTAGAAAGAAGTAGCACTGATGACTGCATTTCAAACCGCAATAACAGTAAAATGTACACAGTAAGTTGTTAAACTTCCAATTTATATCACAAACTAGACATTTCCAGGTATGCGCAGCACCATATCCTAGGATTCAGAATGAGGCAACAAAAGTTCTGGTGACATAAAATAGCCTTATTAGACTGTAAACTAACAGGCTTGTGAATACCATACATCTCTCATAGTCCAAATACTACTTACTTGTTAACTCTGCATGCAGATCACGTTGGAACATTTATGGGCTGAAATTGCTGTATAATCTGTACTTATTCACTCATACATCACATTACATTAGTCATTAAGGTAACTAGTGAGCAGGAAGGGCCGCATCACATGGCAATTCTTGTGAACTTGAATGTGACTTGATTCAACATGGTGACTTACAGTACTTTCACAAACTTCATGATTCTGTGCTTAATTTTTTCTGTATTGTCAATGAATTTGTTAGCAAGAGTTAATAACCAGTCTGAGAAATCGGAACTGGAGTTTCCCTTTAATATATACGTGTACATAAACAGAAACAGGTTTTGTTTTGGAGAATAACTATGAATAAACTATGCATAACCACACAGGGATGTGTAAAATAACTGCAGATTCTCAAGGTGGGTCTTAGCCAGATCCCCAGATAAAGCAACTCAGTTCCGCCCTACAGAGCTGTGCCGAAGTGCCACTTACCAGCTGCTGGAAACCTGCATCACCGGGCGCCAAGAAGGGAAGCCGCCTCCCTTCCAGCTCTTTTACAAGCCTCTGTTTCTGGATAAACAAGAACAACTCGGATAAGTCGACTCCCATTACAAAAAAGCAATGTACTACTTTCAAAAACATTTTTTTTTCCCCCTGTCGAAGGACAGTTTCGTTCACGTGTGCCTAGAGAACAATGAAACGTGAACCAGGGGGACACAAGTGGAAACTGGGTGGAAGTGCATTTAATACACTTTTCTTTACCCCAAGGGGTGTGGGAGTGGGCAACAGGCTGTCCAGTCATGCTATTGAAGCCGATACCCCTGGCTTCTTCCAACGTAACATTTCTCATTGAAGAAGACATTTGTCAATACCTGTGCTGAGCATAATAATTTTCTGGAATTATACTGGTCATCTCTTAGCCATATGCTCTTCTCCATTGTTACTTATTTTCACTGTATGTGAAGAAATTATAAAAAATTCTACAGTGTCCATATTCAGCCAACTTCTGTTCAGAAAGCCTTTGTACACAGTACCATAACCTCAGCAGATGTTATACACAGTGGAATCTATTATCTATTTTTTTGACTGCTACTCAGTGGCTCCTTTCTGTTCTCCAGGTTTCCATTTATTTCAATGGAAGTGGGGTTCCTTGCAACCTTATAAAAATTTGCCCCATGTTGTACTTTGTCCTTCTCATAAAACCCAAACCTGGCCTATAGTTCAAAGTGGTTTTATTGGGATACATTCCATTCGGACCTGTGAATCTAATAAACAGTGAAAAAAAGCCCCGAAACCCAAATAAATTTGAAGATGTGTAGCCCTTCCCCGTATCCACCTTCTACTCATTTCACACAGGTGCACAAGAGGAGGATTCCTTGCAGAGCACAGTGTAGTTTGAGGTAAAAGCCCTATTTTTTTTTACAGAGAAGATCAAGGATAACTTTTTTTTTATACCAGAGTAAATAGCACTAATGTGTAAAGAAAGCATGTCTCATATATAAGAACAGACATTTACAACACGGAGTTCACATTTCCACCGGCATGATAATGCCAAAGATCTCATGTGGGACATTTTTGGAATGCGAGAGGACTCTGCCAAAAATATGGCCGAGGTTTAAAAGGAAATAAAATGTGCTGGCAAATACCATTCAACTGCAAACATCAAGGATTATGTCCTGACTCAAAAATGTAAAGGGTTCATTAAAAAAAGACAATACTGTCTGCAAATCTGCGTATAGCATTAAGAGCAGAGTGTTTAAAGGATCACAGACTTTTTTTCCCTGAAATCTTCAGCAAACGTTTTGAAGGATTTGGGGGCTTGCTTGTTCTCTTCCCTGGTCATCAAGGATGCTGAAATCAAAAGGCACACTGCCCGCCTGCTAATTAATTTCCTTCTCACTCATTTTCAGACAGCGAAACGTGTGCAGATTGACACAACAAAAAACGGAACCAGTGTCCGGAGATGCTAAGGTGAAATATACAATATTCATGGCCACTGCTGCTCGGAGGGTGAGGAGAGGAAACAAAACAGACAACCTGACACATATTCATTGCTGGTGTCAAATGCCAGTCCAGGGCCAAAGCACAGCACATTAAACTGCGCTCAGGGCTGGAGAGGGGAGGCTGATTGTCAGCTCTGGCTAACCGCGGCTACTCAGTCCGATGCTCAGACAAATACACACACAGCTGGGCCGGCCAGCACACTGCTCCGCTCACACACAACGAAGCTGTCACGCACATGTCAAATACATCAAGCTTCTCGCAAATTCCACAAAAAAAAGACAAACCAGCCACACCAGATGGGCTGTGAGGGAATGTCAGAAACGGCGTGCCTCTGAGAGCAAGGAGGCGATATATACATATGTATACTATGCAGAAATAACGCGCCGGGTACAAAAAAAAGAGGAAAGTAAGAATAATAAGAATAACCTGCCCCATATTCATTGCAATAACGCAAAAATGGTTAAGGCGTGATCTATTTTGCTACACTTAAAAATGAAAGGAAGTTTGAACTTTGAAATGACTGTAAGACATGAAAATGAACCCACCAGTATAACAAATCAACAGAATTTTTTATTTATTTCCTGATCTTCTAAAACTACTGGTTATGTGGCCAATGTTCTGGCCAGATACAGTTTGAAGATCTGTCCTGCAGCAGCCCAGGGCCTCTTTGGCTTTCTCCCTGAGCACAGCAGACCAGCACACCACCAGCCACAGGAATGAGCTGGACTGGAAGGTGTGTGTCACTGTGGGATAGCATTGCACCACACCCGACAACAGACTGCATTCAAGATGCTCACACTCACAGCAGTTTCAACTCTCCTGCGCACCTCCAGCCTGAAGCCACTGGAGATACACAAAACACTTTCACGTAAAGGCTCTAGTGTGCAGTTTCCTGACTGAGAACAGGTTCACACCACTCACCACCTACTTTAGAGCATTTTGCAATCTCAATTTCCTGTTCCGGGTGCAGGGGAACACAGGCAAACACCTTTTGAGGTGGAGCAATTGAGAGTTAGCCTGAACTATTTTTTTGGTCTTTTTTCTTCCGTGCTTTGCTTTTGAACAAAAAATACTTGGTGGTTTATTGTGTCGTCCTTTACTGTTTTCTTTCATACCCATTTACCTTCAATGAAGACCTCTGTCAGTGTCATTGCATCATGCCACACTAGTGCAGGAGGTACAGCGGACAGTGCTGTATGAATCACTCCTGAGTTTCTTAGAGACTCAAGCTCCCAGACTGCCCAAGCAGATTCCAGGAGCTCAGCCCTGGGAGCTGAAAAAGCAGGAGACCAGCAGAGGTAGAACAGGCCTTTACTGTAAGCACAGCAGCCCTGAGAAAGCCCCCGAGGGCACGCACTGAAGAAGAGATTTAGAATGCTCTGGCGTGTACATAATAGAGCTCCCCGTTTATAGAGTAAACTGGTAACATTTGTGTGACACTAATCTCAGAAATGGCCTCCTTGCGCAACACTGACAGGGAGTCAAAGATTTTGACAAGCCGCCTGTAAAACATCAGACACTCACGGCTCTGCCAGCAGGCGCATCAAAACCATTTCCGCCCCACTCCATTTGGCTCTTAGTTGCAAAAACTGGACTCTGGGTGTCACCCAGCTGCAGGAATGTGCTGTGTGGTAGAGAAGGGAATGCCCACCTTGTTTTTTTTTTCCAGATTGGGAAAGAAAAAAAAAATCGATGCCCCCTTGCACCTGAACAAACAGCACCACTTAGCACAGCCCCGGGCCTAAACAGTCCTTCGGTTTCTCTCGCTCAACATACTGGAGGCCCATCAAGCAGAGGGCAGGTCCAGGCTCCGTGAGATGACACAGCACATACATGTGATCACACACCTCCATAGCTTCTTCAAACACCCCTCAAATTCCATACAGCACTGAACCACAGTGGCCTGGCTCCTTAAGGGCGTTAATAAATAGATTAGCAGTGGATGCCAGAGCTATTAATTTACTGAAAGACTGTACTCAAAGAAAATAAGAGAGCCCACATTGAGATTTTTAGATACTACCCTATTATGAGAGAAATTTTCTGAACATGCAAGAAAAACACTACTGAGAGGTTACACTACTGTATTTATTTGAGCACTGCATGCGCAGTGTCTGTACAGTTTCTTGCTTTGGCATTGCAGGGTTCAGTTAAAATGTTTCTTTTTTCCATTCACAATTAAAAAGCAGGTCACCTATTGTGACTGTAAAAGATCTTTAATTTAAGCAGACCAGGCATCAGTGGGATGTTTGCCCGCTGGAAGTTCTATGAAATTTGCATTTTGTACCGGTGTTCAAATATACATTCATTCTGAATGGGACAAATAATAGGTTTATTCCATGCTGAAAAAAAGAAGAAAGAAAACACAACGTTTTGGCTGTGGAGCCTCAGGCTCCATGGCTGAAACGTTGTGTTTCCTTTCTTCTCTTTTCACCATGGAATAAACCTATTACTTGTTCCTTTACAGCCTACGCATGCTGACGCAGCTCCCCACCTGAACTACATTCATTCTGAATGTCCTTTTTCCCCAAACATGGCATTTTATTCTTTATGTAGTATCACAAGAGGGTGTTCCCTGCATGCAGTGATGTAGAGAAGGAAAGTCTTCAAAAGATGAAAGCCGTTTCAGACTTAAACGTTCTGAGGGGACAGACTTCCTCCAGGGAGCTTCGTAATAAACTTATTTTAAACCTCTGCTCTGACTTCTTACACCTGTACAACACGGATTTTCCCAGCTACAATAACCTCCAGTGGAGATGTGTGGTAACACCAACAGGAACAAATGAGGTAGAAAAGCCTGGAATTTTTACTATGCTGCATTTGGAGAAACAAAATGGCGCTGAACTTTGTTTTCTCCAAGTCTAGGTCTTTGAAGCTGCTTTCACGGTCAGACAGGAACATGAACCTCAAAATCACATGCTTCTGTTTCTGGCACTGAAGAATGACGTGGCTTTGCAGTCACTGGGCAGACTACTCCTCAGGTGTTAGACCTCTGTGTCCTGACGAGAATTCACCCGCTGCTCAAATCTAGAGACACAGAGGGCAAGACTCCCCAATTTCCAGCCCTTACAATCTACACCACTGCAGTATACTGCTACAACCTGAATTGATCAGCAGAAGGATTTAACAGTGTGAAGTTGTGGATAGACAGCTCGACAAAATCTAATGGCTCCAGTTTCTGTTTTTTACATCTTTCGACCTTCATGAAAGTGCACGTCCACAATTCATCCCCACAGACACTGATAAAGGGTTTAGATCGTGGACTCGTCCAGTAGGAGTTTTGTTTGAAAGATGGCAGATCAAGCATTAAACAATGCATCGTAACATTTGATGCATTTAATTTCTAAACACATGAATTTATAAAGACAGAAGAAAGTATTGACTCCCCCTTTCAGAATCTAGACACATTCTCCAGCTTAGCAGAAAACAGCAGTCCGCTGTCTGGGAAGAAGACTTCTATCATTCGTCTTTATAACAGATGTTGAAACACTTGAACCCTGACTAACTTTTTTAAGAGAGCACTAAATTTTAAAATGAGCACAGGGAACCATGTCTCTCTTCAATAGCAT